AAACGTTGAGGAGCTTGGCTGAGCAAAAGTCAAATTATGAATGGTTTCACCCATCAACGCCGCACAAGTCAGGTATGCTGAATAGCAATTCTGGTATTTACATTTGGCTAAACTCATGGCCGCAACACCCGTATTGTCTTCAAACAAATTCCGCGAATAAGAATCGAAAGAATCTTTGACTTTTGCCCACAGTGTTTTAAGCTCCTCCTTCTGTATCTCAAGCGAAAAAACAGAGTTATTTGCACCTGGAGTCTGATTAAACCGCTCTTCAAACTCTATTAGTGCATCACAAGCGCGAGAAAAATCACTAGCATTCGCCATTTTTAGAGAAAAACGTTTATTTATTATTGACTTTAAACTTTAAATTTACTCACAATCAATTAATACAAAAAAAAACACGGATTAATTTCCTACGGTGCTTTATCCACTGGTTGTGTGATGACCAGCTGATGGGGAGTCCAATGAGTGTTGCTCGTGAGAATATATCTTAAAGAGCTTTCTTTGAGATAATTTCTCACCCCAGCTACACTCGTTCGGTCGGGCCTTGATGTTTGCGCAGCTTCTTCTGTGGGCTAAGCTGATTGGGCTGGAACTCCTGGTCACTATCTGCTGGCGCTCCTGACACTGGATACCGGCTGCACACACACTTAAGCACTTATTTAAAATTTTTATAATTTTTTATTTTTTTTTTATTTTTTTTTTTCCACTAAATTAATGTGATCCCGGTACTTTTGCCGCGTACCAGCTCACCGCAAATTAAAAACAAATCGCGCCCGACTTGAATATACGTGGCGAATCTCAAAGGCTTACCTTTTCGTGCAGCTTACTGTTTTAGGACTTTATATCTTGCTCCCGCGGTGGGCCACTTGGTGGGAGCCTTGCTTTAAGTTTGTTGCTCCCGCGGTGGGCCACTTGGTGGGGGACTTGCTGTATGTTTGTTGCTCCCACGGTGGGCTACTTGGTGGGGGCCTTGCTTTAAGTTTGTTGCTCCACTTGGTGGGGGCCTTGCTGGGTGTTTTGCTCCCGCGGTGGGCCACTTGAGCGCGTTGCTATTGCTGCTAGTTGCTGCTGATGACACTGTAGTAGTTGTAATGGCGCGTTAGGTCTTGGTCCGATCCTGCGAACGAGACTGAGATACAAATTTAATATAAAATTTTATTTATTTTTGCTCAGCACCCTGCTAATCAGGGACTTTCACCGCACTTGCACTGCCCTGCTAACCAGGACCTTCACTTGCAAGCGGTTTTCTTGCGAATTCGCTCAGTGCCCTGCTAATCAGGGACTTTTACTGCACTTGCACTGCCCTGCTAATCAGGACTTTCACTTGCAAGCGGATTTTTTGCGTTTATCGCTCACTGCCCTGCTAATCAG